TTTTATGTATTATAACAGGTTGTAGAGGGACTTTTTCTACATAGGTCATGCCGAAATTTTATATATTTTATTATTATTATTGTTATTATTACTATTATTTTGGTATCTTTTGGGTCGTTACATTACTTGTTTGCTGAGAAAACCAATTCCATAGTTCCTCAAATGTAGAGATTTCAGAACAATCCACACTCCAGCCCATGGTATCTTTTATCCACTCCCAAAAATTCCTAACATAGAAGCATTCAACAAATAAATGGTTCCTAGTATCACTCTCCTGTAAACAAATAGAGCACCTTGGAGCTTGCTGCACCTTCTTCTTCTGGAGATTGACCATTGTTGGCAATTTGTTTTGAAACAGAAAAACACAGTAAACAAACCATCTTGGCCGAGCTTTTCCCCAATACAGCTTATACCATAGCATCTCTGGATGCATTACCCTGCAGCCCTAGCTTCCAAGCATTTTTAAAAGAAAAAGGACCTCCATCCCAAGTATATTTATCATCTCTGTTATGAATAGGCAGTGTTTGTAAATAATCTCTAATAGGATGGAAAATAGCATCTTGTAGAATATTTAAATTCTAGCCTCCATTATCCTGGATAAAAGGGAATCCCAAGCAAATCCCAGTCTTTTTTTTTTTTTTTCCTAGTTGGGACTCACACACACTACCCCACTGAGATTCGAACCCCTAACCTCCTTTTGGGAAGTAGGAGCTTTGTACCGCAAGGCCACAGGCCTGTTGGTACAAATCCCAGTCTTCTAACAGTTCTATGGCCAAATTTCTAAAGCAAAGACTGACCTTTACACCATGGATCAGACAGTAGTTTGAAAAATTACCCCGTACCAATTAAACATTTAATATTGAGATGCATAAGATCCCTAATATTAATCATATTTTTCCATAGAATAGAATGTGAGATCTTGGGAATTGCATTCAGTAGGTAGACCCAAATCCTATCTTTGCTAAGAAGATAATCCCAAGCCAATGTACATTGGGCTGCTTGTTACACATCAATCAATTTTCTAATTCCCAAACCTACCTCATTTTTTGGTCTGCACATAACATTCCAACTTAAAAGATGCGTTTTCTTTAAGTTGTCTCTGCTTCCCCAAATAAAATCTCGACACAACTTTTGGATCTAGTTAAGAACTGCTATAGGCAATGTAAAAGCACTACACCAGTACAGACAAGTTGGAGTGATAACAGTTGTGATCAATTCAATTTTCCCTGCTACTGACAGCATACTATTACACCAAACATTAATCTTTCTTGAAATTTTATGCAGTAAAGTTGAACAATATGATTTTTTTAATCCTATGGAGCACAAAGGAATCCCCAAATGTTTCAAAGGCATAGCCAATGATTTCCTTGTGAACTTAATACTATGTTGTTGTTTAATCAAGGATTTAAAACTTACTATATTAGTATGAATGTATTTCCTAAGTTGACAACATTGTATTAGTATATTTTACTCACCTTGTGAACTTGTCATTGCAAATGCCATAGTAGTTTGAAGACTTAGAGCATGGATTGTGTAGTTTCGAACTTGGTTGTGCATGGAAAGTGGTTAAGTGCATTGTATACCTATATATGTGTATGTTGCAATACTATTGTTAAATTTGGAAATACTGGGGGCATTATTTCATTGACATGGCTAAGGTACGTACGGCTTTAGTGCTGTAGGTACAAGTTCTCCCCAATATAGTGCGCACTTAGGTAGTTCCTTGTGGGTTAATAGCCTAAAACAACTAATTGTCTTGGCTGTGATGTTCATAACCGGATGCTCATGTCCAAGATATTCCTATTGTTTGATTTTGCGTTTTTATTTCCAAGTTGACAATACAATGTAGTTGTAACTTGTTGTTTGGCATTGGAGGTTCCAATATTGTTTAAATGCGTTACTTGTTGTGGATTACATTTAAATTGCTTCAAAGATAGTTTTAAAATGATTCCTTATCTTCACCTTGAAACTAGACTTAGGGGGCATGATCCACATTTGTTTATCTATATTACACTTGCAAAACCTTTTAAACTTTAGGTTATACGCATATGCATTTCCTATGGAGTAATTTCAATTACTCACCCTAGTTGATCATTGTTTTTCAGACAAGGAGATACTCTTCTTGGATGCTCATCATCCTTAACTCGTACTTGTGTTTACTTTTGAGTATCTTTTGTATCTTATTAACATGCAAGTGTTAGCATGTTGCATTTGTCTTTTGAGGTTGACAATGTGTAATCTAATTAGAAGTTTGCTTAGCTTCCTTTTGTATGTTAATATGTACCCAAGTACTTTCTTTTGTGTCAACTTAACATGTATGTAATGAGGCCAAGGGCATTTTTGGTAACTTTTTTATGAAACTTCGAAATTCCATATCTCTTCCATTCTAACTCCAAATTAGGTGATTTTTTAGCCTAGATTTATTGATTTTTCATTGGCTATCCAATGGTATGCACAGTAGCATCCAGTTTTGTTTTGCCATTTTTTACCCCTAGTTCCATTTTTGTCCGTTTTAACCTTAGCTTTCACGTTCATTTTCTATTTGTCTCGTGACTTCTTAGAAGGTCACTTTGTCATCTTAGAGGTGGTGTTCATCTCTAGAGACCTCTTATCTCTTTTCCTGCTTCTGCATTTAGGACTCGTTTTCGGATCAGTTTTCAGGTTACTTGTTGACACACCGGGTTTTGTAAATTCGGGCAGTCACAGAGCCAATTGCATACTGTTAAAATTAGCATTCATTTTGCTGAATCATTATAATTATTTTTTACCCTGTGTCCCACCGGGCATGCCAAGAATGTTAACCATAAAATCGGCAGGTTTCGCCGATTCAGAAATTTGTGTACGCGGGCATGCCAGAACCAACAGTTTTGTTCGAATGTGAAAAGATTAGGTCAAACTGAGTCTGTTTTGCAAGAAAGTTATGGATCCAATGATTAAGAGAGAGAACATTAAACTCTCAAGTAGGTTCAAAACAGGACTTTAAATAGGAAAGTGAATTGCAATGATTGTGAAAACTGAATAAGAAAAGAAGGAGAGAGAGATGTAGAAGAGAGAAATAGATAAAGAAAAAGGGGAAAGAGAAACTGATAATAGAAAGATTGCTAAAGAGAGAAAGTTAATGACATAAGAAAGATATAGAAGAGAGAGAGAGAATATTTAGAGAAAGAGAGTCTGAGAATAGTAAGATTGCTAAAGAGAGAGAGTTGAATTAGAGAGGGAGAGCTTGAGAAAGCATAATTACATTAAAATAAAGATTTTGAGGGTGTTGAACCTCTGCTTCTACAATTATTTGTAGAAATTATAAAAAGTCCTAAAATAAAATACTTCCTAAATCTAAGCTATTGGATTACAATTATTGATTACCAAATTTATTCCACTAAGCCCGTGTTCCTCCATTATCCACGTATCTTCTCATGATTCTTGTCACGATTCTTCCATCGTATCCTTTACTTTCCTTGAATAATATATCTCCTTTATTTAGGAGTGTTGATAAAACCTATCACTTAATAGTAGGCATTGAATTATCTCGTGATCAGATGCATATAGAAAATTTAAAACTCTTACCTCACATTTTAGTCAAATCATTCCTTATTCTGATCTCACCAAATTGACTTGCCACGTAATTTGTCAAAATAGGTGTCAACATTAATAGCCTTTTTGTGCATGTTGGAGAAAGAAAATCGACGCGACGGATTTCTTGTTTCTACAACTTGTCAAAACCCGGCCCGCTTATTAATTTATAATAGTGTGAAGGAAGATGTAATTCAGATTTAAATGAAACTATATTCAATACTTGGATCTAAAAGGAGTGACCGTGAACCAAAATATAAGATGTCTTAATTAAATAGTAAAATAAAAAACTTGATACATGCACTTGTAGTGTATGTAGTAGCTGGTACATTCTCATTAATTTTCAAACTAGAAGTGTGGTCTGAGGGTTCTAAATAATTGTTGAAAATCCCTATTAAATTGGAAGAAAACATAGATTCAGAACTATACAAGGCCAGAATATCACTACTTAAGCAACAGGGTTGGGGGTGTGAGTTTTTTGCCACAATAAAAAAATAAAATTAAAAATTAAAAAAAAAAATAGTATAAATTAAAAAAATGATAAAATCAAACATTATTTCACAACTGACCCCTTTTTGTTGTCAGTCCATTCTAAAGAGGACTTCCACAATTTCTAAACCCATCTATAAACCAAACACGAACAAAACAACTTGAGCATGCAGCACCTTCACAATATATATCCTCTTGAATTAGTGCCGTCTGCCTTGGTGCTATACCTGACAAGTTTTGGCAAGGTCATGGTCCAATGATTATAATTTTATGCTTTCTTTATTCACTAATAAATTTCAAAGAAGGAACATAAAACTGTATAAAAATCAAGCATGTGGTTGAAAAAACTTGTTAAGTCTTCTTCAAAGAATTCTTAATATTTCATGAACAGTACAAAACCCTTATAGTACTTAAATATTAGGGTTACATATAGAGATTAGAAATCCGGTCCAAAACACGCCTAGAAAAATAAAATAATAAATAAAGAAATAAAATTGGATCAAAAGATTTCTATAAGTAATCGAGTGGCCTTAATGAACATCTCAAAAACCATTCTTATGTCTCTATTTTAATTGATATAGTAGTATATGTTTTTGTTCCACTATAAGTAAAAGAGGATCGATTAATCCTACTAGAAAGCTAGGCGTTACACCAAAATATATAATAAAAATAATAATAATAAATAAATAAAGATGAAGAAAAATGAAAAGACATATGATATATGCATGCCACTATGTTAGTTAATTCCCTATGTCAACAACAGATTCATGCAGTTTGAGGTAGGGATTTCATGATAAAAACCTTTTATCTATGTACAAATATCGGAACCATATATTTATTCATGGAAATTGAGGAAAAACTAGGAATTTAAACACATTATATATTTTATAAGGAACTAAAAAAGTAAATTATAACTCACAACCAAAGCTAGTGATATCAATCTATGGATGCCCTATTTCTAAGCAAGTCTCCCAAAAGAGCCTGTTTCTTTCCATCTCATCCATCACCATCACCGTGCTACTTCTTCCCTCATCAACGCCAACCCTAAATGATGATTCTTCTCCCTCGTCCCCCGGCACGTACTCCGATGTGGCTCCCGACAATCTCATCATATAGGAGTCGCTGAAATCTTGCTCAATTTCACAGTCATCATCAAGCTCATCATCAGAACAAAGCACAACGCTGGCGTCACAGCTACATGACTCTTCATCATCATCTCGAGCAAAAGAGAAGCCATTACACATCGCCAAAAACTCCGAATCTCCAAAGTGATCGGAATCTCCCTCAGAGTCTCCACTTGCCTCAAACAAGAAGAAAGAAGACATATCATTAATATTAATCCTCCAATCCATGCCTCACTGTTCTATTAAGTTTGAAGTGATATATCAATGTGTGTGTGTGTGTGTGTGTGTGTGTGTAAGTTAACACTAGCTCATTGTGATAATGACTACACTAATCAATGTTCGCTATATATTCGTTGAATGAGGTGGTAGGTTCTTGCTTGTGGTTCCATTTTTAATGGTGGGTTTCATGTCATCCATCCACTTCCTTTTACGTCTACATAGTTGTTGGACTTTTTCTACTTGAAATATTTCTATTAATTAAACATCGACACTTTAATTAATTATGTGCATAATACTGGGACACGTGCTATATATTAATTAGGATCCAAAAAATACCCACTTATGATAATTAACTTTGATCAATAAGATTTCAAAATTAAACTAGGATTAGTGCATTAATTTATGTTCAAAAGGGCACTTGATTATTAGGCCATTAGATTTTATAAATCTAGGTATTTTTATAATGACCTAATTTTAGAGTGTCGGTGACCAAGGAGTCAAATATGAGTTTGTGTGACATTGTCAAGATAACAATCTGAGAAGAAAGACTATAAAACTTTAAAAGTAGTGAGGGGAACACGTTTGTGTATTTATGTATGAATATATATGTTTGTGTATTTATGTATGAATATATATGTTTGTGTATAAATGTTGTGTGTGTGTGTATATATATATATATATATATGTTTCCTTAGCCTCTCGAACTCACTTCAAGGAGCAAAATAACAGTTCCAGATGTAAATGTTGGGAAGTAGGTACAGCCTAATTCATACTTGCCAAAACTTCAGCTAGATCTTTGCAATGTGAAATTTTGAAGACGTGTGTATGTAGATTTTATTAGGACAAGTTAGGTTTAATTCATATTTATATATAGTTATACATTAGTAAGTACGTGTGTGCGCGAGCAATATCTCGGGACCACGACCGCAAACATAGTTCGAATTTTACCTGATCCGTGTAGGGGGATCGTCTTACACAATCCCGTAGATTAGTCAAGACAAAATCCTAAACACCCCGATTATTCAAAAAGGAATAAAATACGTGTGTGTATACTCACGTACGTGTTGGTACGTATAGTCAACTTGGTATAGGTAGGAGTTATACAAAATATGTAACAGGGACATTTTTCAGACCATGGAGCCCTCAATCATTTTGTTTAAAACATGTTTTGGCTATTTCATACACTAAGATTTTTTTCTTTTCGATTTTTTATTTTTTTATTTTTATTTTTTTACCCGTAATACCCACCATATGGCTTTCCACTAACTTGAGTTTTGCCGACAGTACTTATGTTACACCATTATATTCAATGAAAGAAAAAATTAGAGTCATGGTGACATAAGGACCACGCCTAATTACACCTAATTAAGAAAAAATTAAATAAATAAAAAAGACTTGAGTTTGTGGTTTATGCTTAATCACAAAATAGATGATGATTTTTTATTTAGAGGTTTATTGTGATTGATCATGGTTGCAAAAGGCGCTCAACTACGAGTTATTTTAATGTGGGTTGGGCAAGCCAGAATGGTTGGGGGAGGTGATGAGGTTCACTTCTCAACCCGAATATGACCCGTTTAATAATCGTGTCAGAAACTTTCAATACTATAACTCGACCTGTTTATTAAACAGGTTACACGTGTAATTCGTTTAATGACCTATTTACCAAAAAAAAAAAAAAAAATTATGTTATTTAAATTATTAATAATACTCAATAAAATAATAAATACTAAAAAAAATATAAGTTTTAATCCACCAAAGTACTAAAGAGTTTCTATTTTAGAAAAGATTATATTATAAGACACAAATTTATATAGTAATTTTAGAACTTAAATAAAAATTTATGTACGACATATATAGTTAAACGTGTATAAACGTGTTATACGGGTTGAATCCCGTTTAGTTAATCGCGTGGACCCGTTTATGATCCAAACTCGTTTAAGGTCAACCCAAACTCGTTTAACTCGTGTCGTGTTCGAATCGTGTTGGCGGGTCGTGTCAACTTTTGCCACCCCTAGTTGAGAGAGGCAAAGAGGAGAGAGAGGAGAGATGTAAAGGGGCTTAAGGATGAATTTTTTTTTTTTTTTTTTTTTGGGGGGGGGGGGGGGATCAAATATATTAAAGAACCAAAAACTGTACAAGGAAACAGAAAATTGAGCACTTAGACTCCTATCCCCACAATACTATGTTGGATGTAGTCCCAAATCCTAGAGGAAAATGAGCACTTGAATAACAGAAGTTCATATGTGTCAATGTCAGCTGAGCAAAGAGAACATAAAAGGGGGGCAGGAGGAAGTAGAGCATCATAAAGTGTGTTCGAGATTGAAGTGCCCTGTAGTAGACAACATCCAGATGGCCTGAAGTAAGAATTGATTCTCCATTGTCCATGCTTAATTAGACATTCAACTTTTGCTTTCTCACCAATTCTAGTCACGCGCACATTGTTGATGATTAAAATTTAGTTTCTAGTATATATTGTGTGCTTGTTCAGCAAAAATCAGATTCGGGAATACTGGATAGCGTTCGTTCTTTCGCATCATCATAATCTATCACTCGGAGTATGGTACAACCTCCTTCATGCCATGTATGCATACTCCATTCACAGTTTGCACATCATGCATATACACACACACACACACACGAAAATGATCTCCTGATCAACATGTGCTTGATTCAGATAAAAACCCAGACTATCAATTATACAAACCTGAATTCCAGATTGTAAAAATCAGTGTTCATGCATCAATTGAATGTTAAACGAATTCTCATATAATGATGTAGAACTCCATTTATGCAAAATTTAGAAGGTACATTTCAACAAGATGAATCAACTATTTCCTTAATACACACATGTAAGACGCCAATCAACAGATTCAACAGGACACTTCATAAATCGTCAAACTGAAACATTACATAGCCAATTCGATCAAAAGATAAATCGAATAGAAGACGAGATCAGACCAACCTATGGCTATGACCAAATCAGACGTTAGCCTATCAATTGGAGTATTGGACGTTAAGATCAATCCATGGTAGCTAACTGCAACAACTCCGAAATTGGAACTAAACTCAAACTTTTTTCCTTCCTAGTATCATTTTTCTTGAACAAACAAATGTCCCATGTTCGGTAATTATTTCTTCTACACGAATCTCGTGTAAACCAAACACTGAAACTGGAAAATCATGAACTTTTTCTTGCCTCTGCATCCTGATTTCTCCATGGATTTAGAGCTTCTCTGACAGCCTGAGCTTCAGGGGAGCTCTCCCAAGCTCTCTTCTCCGACTCCAAAACAGTTACTTTATCATCTGCCATTGCCAAAATAAAAGTCACATTACGTGAAAAAAATAGTATAAGTTATTGCATTTATGGAGAGAATAATATGCATGTATAAACAGGGATAAACATGTCATAAATTAAGGATAAATTACACAGACCTCCGCTATGGTTTGCTATAATTACTGGGACCTCCCCTATAGTTTGGGAAATTACTAGGAACTCCCCTAAAAATGAAACTAACCTACACGGACCTCCCCTCCTAGTGACGGACCGTCAAATGGACTAGCGGATCTGTCTAATTTACTGAAATGCCCTCAGCAAGTAAAGCTATGGAATTTTATACACACACACACACTCACATATATCATTATGATCACCACCTTTGGTTTTTGCATTGATATTTGATGGCGACTCCTTTTCCGACGTCGTCTCCCATCGTGACTCCACCGACCTCCTCTCCGATTACTTCTCCTCCTGCTGCCACAACCTCTGACGCTCCTGTTTCGTCTCCTTCCAGTATCGTCTTGCCTCCATCAATCTCTTCGGCTTCAGGTGAATCTCCGTCGTCCCAATGGCGCCGCCTTGAATAGAGTCACTGTCGGTGGATTTGTGGCTGGTCTCTTCTTCGTGTCGGCGTTGTTGCCTTAAATCTGATCTGAAATCCCTATATTTTGTCGGAGTTGATGATTTAGGTTTTTTTTATTTTTGTTTATTCCTAATTTTCTCTTATCTTCCCAGTCGGTGATGGTGATACAGATTTGATTTATTGCTGTATTCTATACACAAGTTGCAAAAATCAAATTGAGGGAGCTGCAAAAAGAGATTATACATGTTGCTTCCCATTCCATCTGATGTGGAAATCTCAGCAGTGACACCTTTATCATCTTTATTGGTTTCCATTTAATTAATTATGAATTCTTTGTTATGATTTATATTTATTCATCTATGGCTTACTTTTTCATTTTGCAATGATGTGAGATTTTATTTATGGTACTATTTCTGTATCAAAAGTATTTTTTTTATACTATTAATTAACATTTTGTGTGAGAGAAAGTGTTTGTGTTAGAGAGAGAAAAGTGGCTTCCAATTCCAGATGTGGTATATAAGCATACTTCAAACAAGGGTAATATGGGGATTTTAATACATTTAGGGCATGACATCAGCAAATTCCGTCTGTGAACTCGTGTTGACCGTTAACAAGGGAGGTCTATGTAACAACATTTCATTTTTAGGAGAGGTCCGTGTAATTTCTCAAACCAGAGCGGAGGTCCCTGTAATTATAGCAAACCATAGGGGAGGTCCGTGTAATTTACCCCATAAATTAATGATCTTACCTAAAATGAGGGAGTTGAGAAGGATAAGCGGCAATAAAACAAAAGAACTGAATAAGTAATGAATGCATTCAAGTCAAATTCTTTGCATAACCAACTCAAGATAATTGATGAGGAAGGTCACTAAAATTTTAACGGGCCGAGTGTTGGCCCTCTGACACCAAAGCTTATGTTGTTGGGTTGTGCCACATGCTGCCCATAGAAGCCCAAGATCCTCCGCATCCGGATCCGATGTGGGACAAAAAAAACCCCTTACATTCTCTCCCACCCTAACTCAAAATGCTCTCGTTGTGGTCGGACCATCTTGCCTACCCCCCTCCCCCCCCCCCCCAAAAAAAAAAATCAACTGAAGGACCTAGTAACGACCCGAGCCTGAACACCACCTCGGCGCTTGGCATGACACC